AGAAGTATTTTCTGAACTCGCAGAAGATGTTCCGAAAAAATGCAAAAATCCGAACCTGTCAAGGAATCGAACCCATGACCTCCCGCCTATGAAGCAACTTACCTATCCACTACACCATCGACCACTTGAGACTGTCTGTACTCGAACTTAACTTGAGCTACGCAAAGGAGGATCGGCGAGTGCTATGCTAAAACCACCACCCCCCTAACTCCTCATAGAGAATCGTTCGGCAAATTTTGGAAGCAGATTTGAGTTCAGCGTCCCAAGACCTACACGTCGATATGCATCTCATCTTGAATGGCCATGGCGACCTGTTGACCTTCCCTGGTTAGCTGATGTAGCGTAGGTACTCGGTACAGTGGGCCAGGAATAGGTGACGTGTCATTGACTTCACATAGCATGTTAGGGACGTGTTCTGAAATGTCACATATTTCTATGCAGGTTTCCTCATTACGATATGATCTTTGACTCTTAAAAGACTGCGGATCTGTGCTACAATTGCGCCGCCTTAACCGAACAGACTGGCTTGTTTTTGGTGCAGAACTTAGATGAGCTAAGGTGGAAAATGAAGGTTTCAGGAGGTATGCAAAGCTGAGCACCTGCCCCAGGCGTTTATGGTCCCAAAAGTAGACACTCCAGAAGATGTGGCGACGATTTTTGATGTCTTCAGAACGCATTACACTCCAAAGCGAGTGACGGATACTGTTAGTGTGCAAGTTTAAAGGTTACTTTATGGTATAGTAGTGAATTTTGTAGTTTTTGATGTTTAAATATCTTGTTGTATTAGTTCAGAATACTCGTCTTGTAATATGGATTGAATCAGCACGTGCTTTACTCGATATGCCACGAATTCTGTCCTCAACGTTGAATCTTCATAAGAATTCGGGTTTCTTCAAATTGGATGCCGTTGTTTTCGGATCCGACGACTACTGTGCTGATATTGGTGAGTTGATGTTAACAAAAAAAACCCGAACATCTCATTTTGTATTAATTTTTTCATTCTCAAAAGTTCGTAGCCGCCTCACTCAGTCGGGATGGTGTCAGGAGGCATGGAATATCCCTTCCGCGTCATTTTTCACAATTGATTATTCCGTTTCTTAACTGATCACTATTGCGAAAAGGGTTATGTGACAAGACAATCGTAATAAACCGCGTTGGTGAAAGTGTCCAGAGAAATTAAGGGGTGTACCAATAGGGACAGTATAGTGATATGCCTGTCTCCGCCCACACGATCAGCATGGACTGTGCCCTTTACAACAAATGCCACACTTGTCGGTTGGTGTGTAGGCGAAAATTTGTGTTCCAGGTGCTACGCGTACATCAGAAGGCGGTGAAGTTCTCTATGCCCGGCAACGATTCGTGGCTTGTTGTAAGGCATTTCAACTACAGGCGATTGACAGCGTCTACATCGATATCAAAAACCTCGATGGTCTAAAGAAGCAGAGCAACGAAGGTGCGTCACTATCTTCTTTTTCGTAGATGCCTTCCTAATATCTTGCCGTTTAGGCCATTCATGGGGATTTACCGGAAAGCAAACTATACATCCATCCCAGGTATGAACTGTTCTAAAGACTTAATGATTCCCAGGAGCTAAAAGTGGTTGTAAAGGGCTACAAGCAGCGAGACTAGGCCGCACCCATTTTGATCGTCTGCGCTCTCTCACCGATATAGAGGGTCCTTGGAGAGGCAGAAGATTTCTATCTCGATGAGAGCGCGCAGCGTGCAAGATGAAGGGTGCCGCTGCGTGCAGCCATCAACTCCCAAGTATGTTGGCCCCAGTTTTTGATGTTAGCGTTCCATGATAGCTGGCTACTTGTCGCTATTCAGGTGCCAGTGGTCCAAGAAGCGTTTATGCCGTCAGCTGAAAAGGTAGAATGGGCTACTGAGTTGGTCCACGCCTTCAGTCAACACCAAGCAGAAGGGAAAGGAGCGTTCCAATTTCGAGGCCAGATGATAGACCGACCGCTGCTGTTGCAAGCGCTCAACATAATACAATTAGTGGAAAGTGTAGGAGGCTTAAAGTTTGGATAATTGTTGCTAATTAATTTTTTGAGCAAAATAACAGTCAGTATGTTTTTTTCAGTAATATTGTCGAATATGTCAAATGTCCCAGTGAGTGCTCAATAAAAGGTATTCCGGGTAGATATTTTAAAAGCGAATGTGTGTTCAATTTTAATTTACTTCGACTTCGGTAATATACAGAGTTGCTTGTGGCGTGTTGGCTTTCATGCAAAAGGGTTGACGAGAGTGGGATTCGAACCCACGCCCCCGAAGGGACTGGTGCCTTAAACCAGCGCCTTAGACCGCTCGGCCATCTCGCCATGAAAGGATTCGGGACTGAACTTCATTAATACGTCTGGAGCTTGTCGAAAAGACATTGGAATATATAGTGTACGGGAGATCCGCGGCATAAACATTTAGCGAGTTTTTTTTATAGTTAACTGACGCCAACTAGCTGGAAGGGCATGTTCCTTTGCGAAACTAATTAGATTCTGGTTCGAATGCCGCGCACACGACGCCATCGCGTCGGCTGTGATCCTGTATTGCTAGGAGTTTGGTAAAAGTAGTACCTGCTTGCATGACTACTGATTGAACTGAAGGAATGGGCTTGTCGTTTTGTTGCAGTCCAGTCGTAGTTTTCGGCGCTTTGTTATTGTGGGTCCTATCCAATCCGTGGCATAACGTTCCTCTTCAGTTGGGTAAGAATGAGCGAAACCCCTGCTTCGTTGGCGCGCTCCCCCTCCTTACCGTACAAGGAGTGAGGCGTCCAATGAGGAAAAGTATTTGGCGAGAGTTCCGGCCCTCAAGCCTCGAATCGCGAACGTGCGGCAACATAAAATTCTTTCTAAAAGTTTTTGATTCCAATATGGCGCTGATGTGGGCACGAAGTAATTGCAAGTTAGGTTGAAATTATGTGAGCCGATGGGTGGGTGGTAGGCCTTTTGCAGGACTGGTGTCGCTTTAGGAAAAGCGAGCTGGTCGTGTCAGGGGTGAGCGGGGGGGGGGGGAGAGTTCAGTTTGGCGCGACAGCGCAGGGCTTGTTTTTCCCAAAACTTCGGTCGTTTAAGCGTGCTTCAACAATTGGTAAAAGAACAAGCTGGCGCCGCACGAACAGCCTCCTCTCTGACCCGCCCGTAGGCGAACAAGAGTTGGCACGACCTGTAATATGTTTATACAGTTGCTAAGTATGCTCCGGCTTCATCTCTTCTTTAGCAGACGCGCGGCATAGTGTTTCAATTTTGCTTTGGTGGGTCGCTTACGAGGCTTGGTTAGAGGAACGAGGTCAACCTCGTAAGGGCACAAGAATACTGAAACACTGTTAATACAGTAACTTCTATACCGTAATATACCGTACTGTTTTCGCAACAGGCACACTATTACTAGTAAGTATTTATTTCCAAAATATCCGTCATCTAATGGAAGTACAAGATATCTAGCTACGGAAATCCTCAAAAGTTTAATGCTTGACGATACGGCGAGACACGAGCCCTGCCGAGCGAGGTGGACATGGGCAGTAGGCGGCGTCGCCTCCTGGAGGTGCCGTTCCTCCTGGGTTTCCTGGACGACCATCAGATCCAGGCTGTCCTGGTCCTCCAGGCTGTCCAGCAGGTCCTGGCGATCCGGGATTTCCTGCGTTTCCTGGTTGTCCTGGACTACCGGCGTTACCAGGTGGTCCAGTTGGTCCAGTAGTTCCAGGTGGGCCAGGGAGAGGGAGTTGATGTGGTGCCGCTGTTTCCGGGCGATCCAGGTTGTCCATCAGCCTCCAGGATTTCCTGGTGATCCAGCATCTCCGGGAGGTCCAACTGGTCCCGGTTGCCCATCCTGACCAGGAGATCCAGCCTGACCTGGGTTTCCGTCAGGTCCAGGATTTCCGGGAGCTCCAGCTGGTCCTGATGGTCCAGGTGGTCCTGCTGGACACTGAATGCAGCCGGTGTCTCTTCCAGGGCAGATTATTGGAGCATATGTGAACGGTGTTGTCTTGTCCAGGTTGACCAGGTGCTCCGGGTTGTCCTAAATTTTTTACGATATAAAGGAAGTGAAAAGAAGATAAAGTAAATCAAACTAACCAGGTGATCCAGGCTGTCCAGGGAGGTCCAGGAGGTCCAGGTGGGCAGTTGACTGTTGGAGTCGTGCACTGGCAGTAAGAAGGGAAGACCAGGCCTGCCTCTTGCTACGGAAGATAGAGCCGAAGGGATTCTCACGAGGCTTGGTGGAGGTGCGACAGTGACTTGGAAGTCCATCATTTGGCTCCAGGCAGAGTCAGTCTCGACGCGGAACACAGACAACTCCATCGAGGACTTCATCGTGGATCTCGTTGATGGTGTTGTAGAGCGATGGAACCACAATGAAGGCAGGCAACAATGGCCAAAGTGGAGCAGGCAGAAGCCACGCCGACGATCAGCTTCTTCCTCAAACATTCTGTGTTGCTTCATCACTTCCTACAGGCTTTTTATAGGAGCCCTTAAGCGACGATCACTTGAATTGGACTGCAATTGACTAAGTGAGCAGTCTACAATTTCGAGGCAATCGTTTCGCGATGATTCGTTAATGAGGCGTGAGCGAACACACTTTCGCTGTGATCACCAGCCCTGGAATCATGTTTGACGGGGGCAGCGAAAGCTGTGGTATTTGCCAATGTTAATGCTATTATTCTATAGGTATTTTGCCAGATATTTTCAATCTGGAGGTTAAACGAAGGTAGTGTAGTGGCACCACGCGCACAGTCCAAGGATCAAATCTCCGATTGGCTCTCGCCCGACCACCAAGTCTTCTACTCTCTGGGGACGGTAAATTTGTCTGACAAGAGAAAAGCACTGACTTGTACATCGGCTGGCCCCCACGTGTGATTGTATAGGCCTTCGATAGGTCGAATTCAATAAGGCACTACGATACTGAAAGGAAGTGCAATGCGTGTCGCACCCCAAAAAAGGATTGAATAACGGCGAAGACTTTTCCCTTTCCTTTATTTTGTTTCAGAGCTATCCACACGCCTTCGTTGCTTCCTGTATGTCTTCGAGTTCTGTATCCACAAACTGCGGCGTTAAAGACACGTTCCGCGATGAATACAGGGGCGGAGAAATGGGCACCTATTCATATCTTATCTGCCTCCTTTCTTGGCATGTTGTTATCGAGAAGACGATTATTACGGGACGGTATGTACGGTGAAGAGGATTAGTGGGCCAATGAGAAAGGCAGATAAGATT